ACCGACCGATGCCAGCATCAACTGCGTAATCAGGAAGAGCCATTTAGTCGTCATGCTCCGAGATGCGCTACCTTGACCACTGGTGAAATCCAGTCGGGACGCGGCTTTTGTAGGCGATGTCACTGCTGTCGGGAACGGTATAGACGTCACAAAGCCACGTGGTCCCGTTGAGTAGTTATCGTAGATGCAGGGTGAGTCAGCACCTTGATGTTACACTTGAGGCGACGGGTGTTGGCCATGTGTTGGAAGGCAACCGACCGCGATGCCAGCATCAACTGCGTAATCAGGAAGAGCCATTTAGTCGTTATGCTCCGAGATGCGCTACCATGCCCACTGGCGAAATGCAGTAGGGACGCTGATGTCGCTTCTGTCGGGAACGGTGTAGACGTCACAAAGCCACGTGGTCCCGTTGAGTAGTTATCGTAGATGCAGGGTGAGTCAGCATCTTGACGCTGCAGTTGAGACGATGGGTGCTGGCCACGTTTTGGAAGGCAACCGACCGATGCCAGCATCAACTGTGTAATCATGGAAGAGCCATTTAGTCGTCATGCTCCGAGAAGCGCTACCATGCCCACTGGCGAAGTGCAGTAGGGACGCTGCTTTTGTAGGTGATGTCGCTGCTGCCGGGAACGGTGTAGACGTCACGAAGCCACGTGGTCCTGTTGAGTAGTTATTGTAGATGCAGGGTGAGTCGGCACCTTCACGCTGCACTTGAGGCGACGGGTGCTGGCCACGTGTTGGAAAGCAACCGACCGATGCCAGCATCAACTGCGTAATCAGGAAGAGCCATTTAGTCGTCATGCTCCGAGATGCGCTGCCATGCCCACTGGCGAAGTGCAGTAGGGACGCTGCTTTTGTAGGTGATGTCGCTGCTGCCGGGAACGGTGTAGACGTCACGAAGCCACGTGGTCCTGTTGAGTAGTTATTGTAGATGCAGGGTGAGTCGGAACCTTCACGCTGCACTTGAGGCGACGGGTGCTGGCCACGTGTTGGAAAGCAACCGACCGATGCCAGCATCAACTGCGTAATCAGGAAGAGCCATTTAGTCGTCGTGCTCCGAGAGGCGCTACCATGCCCACTGGCGAAATCCAGTCAAAACGCGGCTTTTGTAGGCGATGTCGCTGCCATTGGGAACGGTGTAGACGTCACAAAGCCACGTGGTTTCGTTGAGTAGTTATCGTAGATGCAGGGTGAGTCAGCACCTTGACGCTACACTTGAGGCGACGGGTGCTGGCCACATGTTGGAAGGCAACCGACCGATGCCAGCATCAACTGCGTAATCAGTAAGAGCCGTTTAGTCGTCATGCTCCGAGATGCGCTACCATGCCCACTGGCGAAATCCAGTCGGGACGCGGCTTTTGTAGACGATGTCGCTGCTGTCGGGAACGGTGTAGACGTCACGAAGCCACGTGGTCCTGCTGAGTAGTTATCGTAGATGCAGGGTGAGTCAGCATCTTGACGCTGCACTTGAGGCGATGGGTGCTGGCCACGTGTTGGAAGGCAACCGACCAATGCCAGCATCAACTGTGTAATCAGGAAGAGCCATTTAGTCGTCATGCTCCGAGATGCGGTATACCATGCCCACTGGCGAAATCCAGTAGGGACGCTGCTTTCGTAGGCGATGTCGCTGCTGTTGGGAACGGTGTAGACGTAACAAAGCCACGTGGTCCCGTTGAGTAGTTATCGTAGATGCAGAGTGAGTCAGCATCTTGACGCTGCACTTGAGGCGGTGGGTGCTAGCCACGTGTTGGAAGGCAACCGACCGATGCCAGCATCAACTGCATAATCAGGAAGAGCCATTTAGTCGTCATGCTCCGAGCTGCGCTACCATGTTCACTGGCGAAATCCAGTAAGGACGCTGCTTTTGTAGGCGATGTCGCTGCTGTCGGGAACGGTGTAGACGTCACAAAGCCACATGGTCCCGTTGAGTAGTTATCATAGATGCAGGGTGAGTCAGCATCTTGATGCTGCACTTGAGGCAATGGGTACTGGCCACGTGTTGGAAGGCAACCGACCGATGCCAGCATCAACTGCGTAATCAGGAAGAGCCATTAGGGAGTTGTAGGAGATCGTTTCCGTAGCCCGCTAAGCACCCGGATAGCGCTCCGTAATCCGCCACAAGACCTTGAACTATGCAGACAAGGTTGGCGGCGCGCATGCGCAGCTGCGGCGTTTTCTTTGCGGTTACCGTAGTGGTGGAGAAAAACGATCTACTAAACCTCCTTATTTAGTCGTCATGCTCCGGGATGCGCTACCATGCATATAGAAACATAATTGTTTAAAGTCGAAAAAATTGAGTCACGCAATTATTGCTGTAGGGATGCATATTTTATACAGAAATACTTCAAAAAAATGGCGAGACACGCAGTAATTGAACACAGCAAAACAGGGCATAGTGAAAAATCAGGTAAACGTAGTGAACGCGGACACGGCTGGACAAGGGTCACTTACGATCATGTAAGCGAAGTTGTCGCGTTCAATCACTGAATTCTTGCATTATACCTCGGCCACATTGCGGCGCTCGTATACTCACTCAAGACCGCGAGCTCATTAAATCCCATATAATCTATTGAAAATATATTAACTTTTCTGTGTGGCAGGGGTACAGAACTTACTATTTACAGTCAACAAATTTTACTTCTCCCTATGGGCTCGAGCTGTTTTAGAACAAAAGATAACTTATTTTGTATACAATAATACTATTACGTTAACACAGTTAAGATTCTAGCATAAACGCGATAAAGGCAAATAACGTTAGTATAAATAAACACATAACCACAAACAACGCACTTTCAATAATCACACAAAGTTGTTTTCACCTTCCAGTAAAAACTAGATTACCACGCATATTTACATATGTAGACGCAACTGCACACGGATAACGCCAAAGAACGAGATTCCATTCTATCACGATATTAAAAACAATTGACTGCAGCACTTTACTCGCGTCCTACGTGACCAAGAAAGTCCTTAAATAAGTTGTTTCCCACCTGTCGATCCTATCCATACGTCCCACAATATCCACGACGAAAACATTTGAACACAAACTCCAACAAGTCTCTCACTGTCGAGGGAGAGGTCTATCGATAATTGACCAGTGTCATCGTTGGCTAGTTGTCACACATTTCACTCAAACCATAGCTGGACTTGTTCCACGAAATAAATGCCATAGTATCGAGCGAACACAATAAAAGCTACCCGAGACTGCAGTGATTACAGAAAAGCGACAAGCAGACGGAAAAAAGTCTCAAAAGGACCACACACGAGAGCAGCGGCGACGAAAGGCTTAACGATGTCGACCCATGTCTTCCTCGAATGCGCTCCCTGCGGCGATGACTGGATTTTTCTTCGGTTTCATACAGTCAGCAGCTCACACACAACATAAATTTACCAGAATCGGAGCCCGTATGAGGAAAGATGATCGGAGCCGGTTAATTCGAAAAGTGTGGGGAGCTGCGGACTGCAGGTATAGACCCGCGGTTACGGGGATACTCATGAATATAAATTTGGTACTTTCAACCTTGGTAACGCCTTGTATATTACGTTTGTTTATATATATATATATATTCAATTGTACAAGACTGCGCTTTTAAAACGTATATCAATGTCGGATAAACGCGCACAAACACCATGGCGCCACTCGACAAGAAACATTTTTTTCACGTCGATACCAGAGAGTTTTTCTTGTAGTTGCGCCAAGGCCTTCCTTGTGACGTAACCACTCATCCTTCTTGGAAGGCCATGGCCTTCACTCGGCAGATGGCCTTCCATTGTGACGTAACCACTCGGAGCTCTACGGCTTCTTTCTCTAGAAGGTGTTGCGCTCGCCCGGCGGCGACGTTCGCACTGCGGCCGCACGGATACTGACGCGCCCAGTGGACGCGCCCATCGTTGCCCTGGATGGATACGTACCGACCTTGGGTTTGATGAAGCTGCCGACCCATTGCACTTTGGCTCGGCATCTGGATGTGCTTGGCGCTGGTGCATGTGCTTGGTGACAATACTTGGACAACACGGATACCGCTAGCCCGCCGGAACTTCCCGATGCGCTCAACACTGGATACTGTGCTTGTGCATGCTGTGTGTGTGTGTTCTGTGCACCGTGTTTGGTGACGACGCTTGGATGACCATGTGCGCCTCCGGAATTCCCCCTGCGCTCACCACTGCACTCTACAAAAGTATTTTGCGAGATGCCCTTAGCCGTTATAAGCGAGAGATTGTCGCGATTTCAGACCCAGGCTCTTCCGCCTGGGTCTGAAATCGCGACGATCTCGCTCGTAACGGCTAAAGGCATTGCACGAAATACTTTGTGTATTTTGTAAATGTGGCAGCCGTGTAGGCGTAATTCCGGACGCTGATGGCGGCTAAATTGCCTCGTTTTATTTTTTGTTTTGTGTTCTCTGGCGAAGAGAATTTCTCACGGTTTTTAAGAAAGCATTGCACTATTTTTGTGAAAAGAAACCAACAAATGAAAGCTATTTTTGGTGATTCCGTGCGCGATAGAACAAATGCAACTGGAATGTTTGTTTCTTTTTATGTTGATTTTTTTACGGCGCCATACTCTCAGCTGTGTAAATCTACAGAGGTCATAACTGCCGAAAATGTTTGAACAATGAATATTCCCCACTCACAACATGAAATTCAACGAGACTCATCAATCGAGCAACATATATTGTACGTACCCCACGGTGCTGCGTTATCTGAACAGGATTTGAGAAAGGTTGCGAATATTGAAACCTGTGGGGTTGGGGACAACACAAGCATGCACTTCGTGTGCAGAGCGATTTATTCGAATCCCTTCCCCGGCAAGGGAGCCCAGCCAATTGCCAAATGAAATCTCAGCATAACACAGATTTAGAAGGACCCTCCTAAAGAGTCATCAAGTGTTTGCCAATGACATCACATTTACCTGTTTATAAGGACCCATAAGGACAGCTGAAAGTAGATAAATCAGGGCAGTTGAAACTGCCCCTTCTTTAAGTAATCGCAAAGCCAATGTCTTGTCAAGCATTTATTGTATGCCAAAACTTTTCTACACAAAAAGCCTAAATAAAACTGAACCAAACAAACACAATAAACCATGTTCGCAAATGCAGCTGACAACACTCCAAAAAGCGTGGCTCAGTTTGTATTCAGATGTAGAACAAATATTTAGCCGCTCTGACCCATGAAAAAGAATAGGGTTGTGTTTGTGCGGTGCCTCATTGAAGACTTTGCCTGTATGCGATAAGACTGCTAAGCAGAGCGGGCCCGCCTTGCTTCTCTATCGGTGGACAAAAGTCGCTCTCGGTCCTCCAGCACCTCTTTGGCACGTCGAGCACAATCATACTCAGCAGAGTCCGCTCCGTCCTCTTGCGAGACATTGGTAAGACTGCGGCACACCCAGTGAGCGCCTCGTCCCACGACTCTCACAAGTGCGTGATAAAGGGAGGACGGTGCGCATACCTCACTCTCCTGTGCAAGCACTTCGATGTGGCAACCGGGATGTTTCAGGGGGATGACTGAAGAAAATGCTACTGCTTTAAGTAATTAATGTTTCATCATTAAGGCAGACCAGCCAATAAACCACAACAAGGCATGTAGTTGGGCTAGTTGGTGGTACATACTGTTTGGTGGGAACAGCGCAAAAAAGACGGACCAGGACGAAGCAGCACACAGACAGCGCCCCGCCTGTGTATTTCTTCGTCCTAGTCTCACATCTTTTCCGCGCTGTTCCCACCAAACAGGTCATTCTACGCTCCCGGATGCCTTCAAGTGACAACAAAGAGCAGCAATCTGATATATGGCTTATGAAAAAAGCAAATCGGGCTTTGTGCTCATAAACTGCATGTGGCCCACCCAGCCGTAACTTTGACTAAACTTTCTGGGCCATCATGGGTACTTGAAAGGCCAATTCCCAGTCGTCCTTGAGCGTACAATCTTATGTTCAGGATCCTTACATGTCGGCACGTGCCTGCTGAGGCTGAACAGGTTAGAAAATGTCCCGGGATGTTGTTGGTATTCCCAACGTGGGTCTTGTGACTTAGATTAGAGCTCTCCACAGGACCGGCCAACCCCGAAAGTTTGGGCCGGGTAGCACAGATTGTTTTCGGGCCTGGGCCGGGCTCAGGCAATGGTCTAGCACACTTTCTAAAACGTTAAGAAAATTAAAATGCATTGATTGTTTAGATTTAGAAAAAAAAAAAAGAAAAAGAAAAAAACGAAAAAGCAGTTACTAAAAAAATTATTAGAAATGAAGAGAGCCGTCCTAAACTAAAAAAAGCTTGCAAGAAGATATGAAGAATAACCCTGGGGATTCCGTCAGCATAGTGGGACAGCTGCTTCTAGGCAAGAAAACGAGGGCAATCCGGTCACAGAGGAAAGTATGATTGTATTTCCTTCTTGAAGTCCTGAAGAAAGAAGAAATGCCCTCTGGCTACCAAAGATAAGCTACATCTCTTATATTTGTGTAAGCTTTCGAAGGTTCACTATGTGACTGCGATATGACCGCGTCTTTCATGCAAATTATGCTAAACAAATCAAATGCACCAACACCTTTCCAGGGCAGCTTTGAATTTAAGAGATGGGGCGCACACCTTGGCCTCTCACCGGGCTGGGCCCAGGCTGGGCCTGATCAGGTAGGACCCATCGGTCTGGGTAAAACTAAGAGCCAGCGGGCCCGGGCCGGGCCTAAAAAAAAGTATGCCCGTGCAGTGCTCTAACCTAGATTAAAAATAAATTAAATTTCTTGTATGCTCTTTATACTTCTCTAAGCATGCAATGCAGCAAAGGTTTGCTGCATTGCATGCACTTACAAGTATTTTGTCTGTGCACACAGATATGGTAAGGCTCAAAAACAATGTGCACTTGCACTTCAGTTGCAAATTCGGTCTTGGTGTGCGTCTTCTTTTACTGGTCCTCGTCTTTCAGCACTTTTAAAAGTCACAAAGCAATGCGAGTTCTTCATGCACAGGTTATACCTGTAACATTATTTTACATATGGATTTTGTTGTGGATGGTCAAAACTTGTGGACACACTTTTCACTTGTGCTTTTTGCTTGTGTGCATTGGAATGTGGTAGCTCAGTGTTGATAGCCAAATAAAGGCTTTGGAGCACAACTTACACTTGTATAGTTATATACATCCATTCTATTGTGGATGGCCAGATTGTTATCCTGAGGAAAGGTTTTTAGAAATTGCTAGTACTTATCACTTTTTTTACCCATGTGTGTTCGCTTGTGGTATTTAAGGGACGACATCCATGTGAAGGCTTTAGGACACAGCTTGCACTTATAAGGCTTTTCACCTGTGTGTGCTCGATTGTGGAGGGTCAGTGTGCTATTCCGAGAAAAGGCTTTGGGGCATTGGTTACATTTGTAAGGTTTTTCACCTGTGTGCATTCGATGGTGCTTGGCCAGATTACTGCTACGTGTAAAAACTTTAAGGCATTGCTTGCACTTGTAAGGCTTGTTGCCCGTGTGTGTTCGAGTGTGGTCAATCAGGGTTGATGGCCGAATGAAGGCCATCGGGCACAGCCTACACTTGTATGGTTTCTCACCTGTGTGCACTCTATAGTGAATGGCCAGATTGCTCTTTTGAGTAAAGGTTTTTAGACATTGCTCACACTTATAAGGCTTTTCACCTGTGTGCATTCGATTGTGGGTAACCAGGCTGCTATACAGAGCAAAGGCTTTGGGGCATTCGCTACACTTGTAAGGTTTTTCATCTGTGTGCACTTGACTGTGCTTGGTCAGATTGCTATACTGAGCAAAGGCATTAGGACACAGCTTGCACTTGTAAGGTTTTTCACCTGTGTGCGTTCGGTTGTGCTTAGCCAGATTACTACTATGTGTAAAGACTTTCAGGCATTGCTTGCACTTGTAAGGCTTGTTGCTTGTGTGTGTTTGAATGTGGTCAGTCACGGTTGACAGCCGAGTGAGGGCTCTGAAATACAGTTGAGACTTGCAAGGTTTTTTACCTGTGTGGACTCTATTATGTTCTGCCAAACTGTACGAATAGGCAAACGTTTTCAGACAGTGCTCACATTTATAAGGATTTTCACTCATGTGCATTCGATTGTGGATAGTGAGGCTGCTATTCCGAGCAAAGGATTTGGAGCACTTGCTACACTTGTAAGGTTTTTCATCTGTATGCCCTTGACTGTGCTTGGTCAGATTGCTTTTCTGAGAAAAGGCTTTAGCACATGGCTTGCACTGGTAAGGCTTGTAGCCTGTGTGTGTTTGAATGTGGTAGGTCAGGGTTGATAGCCGAGAGAAGGCTCCAGAGCACAGTTTACACTTGTAGGGTTTTTCACCTGTGTGGATTCTATTATGTTCTGCCAAACTGTAGGAATAAGCAAAGGTTTTCAGACATTGCTCACACTTATAAGGCTTTTCACCCGTGTGCATTCGATTGTGGATGGTCAGATAGCTATTACGAGTGAAAGCCTTGGGGCATTGCTTACACTTGTAAGCTTTCTCAGCTCTGTGTGTTCGATTGTGGTTGGCCAAACTGCTTTTATGTGCAAAGGCCTTGGGACACTGCTTACACTTGTAAGCTTTTTCACCTGTGTGTGTTCCTTTGTGGTTGGCTAAACTTTTTTTATGTGCAAAGGCTTTGGGACATTGTTTGCACTTGAAAGATTTTTCTGCCAAGTGTGTCTGATAGTGCTTGGTCAGATCACCATGCTCCTTAAAGGCTAAATGACAGAACTGGCACTTGCAGGTATGTGTGGGAGTCAAACAGACCTGCTCTCTGAGTGACAATTTCGGAGAACTGGGACGTTTGAAGGACGAATCACTTCTATGCATTTGAGAATGGCACTGCAATTCTGACATGGAATCACATAACACTGAACAATGCTGGCACTTGAACTGTTCAATACCGTGGGAGACCAGGTGGCTAATAATTCCATGCTGATCTGTGGTTACATAGGCACAGAAACAGCATTTAAACGAGATGTCCTTGGTAGCTCTACATTGGTAGCTGGTGTCCTCCACAGGTACAGCTCTGTCACCTATAAAAAAAGATGTTGCATGTATTAGGATAGACATGTAAAGTCTTAATACCTGGCATCATGGAACATCATATCCCAGCAAAATTGAGTGGCAAAACTTATGTCACCTGACGTTAGACTATCATGTGACCCAATGATGACATCAGGTAACATGACACTGTGATGTGACGTCATGTGAATTTTCCAGAGAAGTTCAGCAGGGATGTTTATGTCACGTGACTCGGAGTCATGGTGAGAAGTAGGTGTGCTATGTGATACCAGGGCATCACGTGACAACAGGTTCTTTGACATCAATTTTCCAGCTATATTCAGTGGGGGAATTATTAAACAGTATGTTTTTTACTACCTCAAACAGCTTCTCAGGATGCATTTTTAATAGTAAATTTTTGGTCCTACTGCTCAGCAACCACTGGATGGATTGACCTGGGGATAATTTCATTTAAAAGATAATCAAAAACTGGTTTGCAGATTGTTGGGTCATTTTCCAGTTTTCAGGCTAGAGATTCTTTAGGGCAGCTTGAACTGCTTCAAAGTACCCCCTATTCATCCCAGTATTCATAAGCAATTCTGAAAAAAAAAAAAAAAAAAAAAAAACAGGCACTAAACAATTTCAGATTATGCATTGAAGAAGATAATGTCTTTCTGATATTTTCTTCAACAAGATATTGTTTTCATGTCTTTACATAGTGAAATGAGAGAACCAAGTTTACACTTCAGTCAAAGCCCAATAATTGGGTTCTTCAGGCAATTATTTTATCTATCCAGTGGCATAATATGTAAGCAACTTTTCATAGTTATTTACATACAAGGTAATCTCATGTTAGTATGTAGCAACGAACTCCTTGCGTGACCTTGTTTCTTTCAGCCGTGTTTAAGATTTTGTTGTACAGGCTTAAAAGTTTTTAGTTTTCCAGGTGCGCTGTGGATGTGCTGGGTTTATTGCTTTCACACCTGCGGTGATAGGGAATAATACCGTCTGGTTTGACCATTTTGCTTGCATTGCTGTGTTTTGCATTTTTCTTTTTTAGGAGGGAGAAGGGACATGTATGGAAAGCTACTCCTGTCAAAAGTGTTTTTGCTTTAGATTTTTTTTTCATGATGAATATGTTTTTTTCTGGTGAAGCCATTGGCATTCCGAAGCCGCAAAAACAGTCCAAAGACTCCACACCACGATGCTGACAGAAATTACTGAAACCTTAAAAATTTGATACTGTTTGCCATTTCATTTCTTCGTAAGTATGAGATTTAAACAAGCTATTCAAATGTTCAACTGAAATCATAGTTACAAATTTTAAACATCGATCAGCTGATTATGCTAAGTCTGTTCTCTATCTTAATCATGAGCTTTGCCTAGTATAATAATATGCGCAGACTGCCTTGCAGAGCAATAAGGAAAAGTCGAGCGAATATAGTGAGTTCTCCTTAGAGAAATTCTCTCACAATATTTTCTACTACGGTATGTGTCAGTTGGAAGCATCAATGGCAGGATTTGGAAATTAGTGAAGTATTATTTATGTTGTGGGCATTGTGATTATCTTATTGTTATGATAGTGACTTTGTTTAAATAGAGCTCCATCTATTTCAAGTCTAATAATACCTCGTGGTGTATGCTTTTTAGGCTGGAGGACTCCGGCAGTGAAGTTTAATTTTTGAAACCCCGAGATACACCATTGATGTGGCATTTTATGAAATAAAATTAATGTTGACAAACAGGAACTCAAACTCTCTCTAATATCATGTTTGTCACATGGACTGTCTTAGCTGTGACAAGTTTGTTAGGCTCTTACTTTGATATTGACTTGTTTATTTCATCATATCGGTGAAAATGTTTTGTATATAGCTGCATGAAAACGAATCCAAGTCGCAACATTATTTTGCTGATTGTCTCAATGTGCTTTGTTACTTAAAATATTTTATCAGCACCAATTTTTTTTCTTGTTAGGAACAGCTTATATACAAAGACCTCTTCTGCCATAGTGAAAGGGAACAACACTATGTTCATCACCCAAAGAAGGAACAACAGAATGTCCATCACTCACAGCACAAACATTTTTCCTAGGTAATTTCAGTTATGTTTGTTTGCCTTTGAACTTGTATGTTTGGGCACCATAAAGTCACAGAAAAAAAAAGAAGATAACTGATGTTCTCAAAGAGCACTCAACGACACATGTATCGAAGCAACATAGTTTAGTTGGCAGCTCCACGTGGATGCACTGTGAAAAATGTAGTGGGCAATTCAGTTTTGAAAAGTCGGGTTCATATTTTGGGTGATGTAACATAGCTTTTTTGGTTTATTCATTTTATTCCCATAAAAACCGATATGCTCTAACATTATTTTGTGAATTCGCAGGAGAACGGCCCTAGTCAAGCTATCTTTTGGCTTTCCACCTATCCTCTGGACATTGTGTATTTTGTGTGATAGAACTTGATCTGATTTCATGTATGGCTTTGCAGGAATGAAAATGAGTTCTGAAGACCTGCAGCAGGGGTCTCAAAGACATGGCCCGCGACTCTCTGGGATGCGGCCCAAACGCCGGCACGTGCGGCGCGTGGAACACCATTCCCTGCATTATCCTTGATGCTTAAGTAATTTAGCAATAGGTCTCTTCGGTAGATTAGTTATCAATAGGCACCATTTTCAAGATCAGTAGACTCTCAGGTAGATAATAAAGGGTTGCCGCTGTGCGACCCAGGTCAGCCACGTCTACGCTCGCACCGCCCTCTCTTTGTCGTCGTTCCAAGCACTTGCGTGCCTCCGCTTTACCCGGGTGGCGATCCCGTCACGCATGTCTACTTTCCCTGGGTGGCAGTCTTGTTGCGCGTGTCTAGTTTCCACCGGCTCCTGGGGGGGGCCTGTGTCGTGTGCTAAATAGCTTCGCTGGTCATCCAACTTCACAGAGTGGAATGGCTCATATCTTTTTTTTGTTCTTGCATTTCTGTATTATTATTATTGCGTACATACATTTATTTGTGATGATGATGATGATTAAGAGTTTAGTGGCGCAAAAGCGACGGAGGCCATACTGCACCTAACTAATGATTTGAGCATCTCAGTCATAGTAATTCAAGCATCAAACATATAGTCAACAAAAAATGTGCAACCTAAAATTTGTGCAAAAAACCACTCGTCTGCAGAAAGTTGACGACACGCTCAAATGGAACGATGGGATGTTTACCAAGTGAAAGTACAGGATGGAAAGGGATCTAAAATCCAAAAAACACTGGGAAACAGTTGCGCCGGTGCTGCTCGAGGCCCGGACATAGCCATAGAATATGCAGAACTGTCAGGGCTTACCCGCAGTGATCACATTCTGGAGGATCATCTCCGCAAAGAAGATAAATGTGGGTCAAGAAGGTGTGGCCTCTTCTAAGGCGACACCAGAGAACCTCACAGAAACAATCTTTATGAGATGAATTTTCCCACAACCCCAAGATTGGTTCGACAAGATGCAGCTTGTTCGTATCCTCTAGGTTCCATTCAGATTGCCAAAGGCAGAAAAGAGCCTTCCTAGCAAGGGGCTTAACATCTAGGAAGGGTATGCCATGTGGGTTTTCCTGGAGATTGTTTGCAGAACTAGCCAGCTGGTCTGCCCTCTCATTGCCTGTGATAAAAACGTGACTTGGGAACCAGCGAAACCTAATAGCAGGTCCGAATTCCAGGCAGCTATTGATTTTATGCTGTACTAGCTTGACAGGCTTATTTTTGGTATCTCCGAGTGAGCAGAGTAAAGCGGCAACACTTTGAAAGTCTTCAAAAAGAAGTGCTTTGATTACTTTGGTGGTGGCAATATACTGAAGGGCAAGAAAAGCACCATAGAGCTCTGCGGTAAAAATACTCTCAACGCAGCTCAGTCGTTCGGCCTGAGCGAAATCATCGGAATAAAGACCCGATCCTGCAAATGTCGAAGTCTTAGCACCGTTTGCATAGAAGTGAGTGTAGTCGGCATATTTTTTTTGCACTTCAATAAATTCTTCTTGAATGAGCACTGGGGAGACGCTATGCTTTTTGTACTGTGCGAGTGCCCAGTTACATGATACTGGAAGCATTTTCCAAGAAGGAACAGTCTCAGCATTCTGTAGAAGGTTAATCCCATAAAGGTCAAACCAAGACCTGAAGACTGATCACTGTCAACAGGAAAACTCAATGGCCACATTGTGCTTGGTTGGTTTTCAAAGAGGCAGGCAAATTGAGACTGCTGGACAGCATAAAAAGTGGCATGATCGAAATGACAAAATTTTCGAAGCGTAGGTCAGGCCCAGGTACTGCCGTCGCTTGGAAAGGGACATCTGGTGAGACTCAGCGTGCAAGCGTAGCACGGATGATGCCCGAAAAGCACCACTAGCCAAGCGCAAGCCAAGGCGCTGCACCAGGTCCAACATTTTCAGAGAGGACGGTCGCACTGAGTAGTACACAATGGCGCCGTAAACAAGACATTATCGCAGCAATGCATTATACAAGTGCAGCAACCATACTCTGTCAGAGCCCAAAGATTCATGTGACAGAACTTTCAGGATGTTTAGACACTTTAGGCACTTTTGCTTCAGTTGCTTTACATGGGAGATAAAATTCTACTTCTTTTCCCAATTCCCAAAAACTTATGTTAGAGTTTAACAGGTATGGGAGTTTTATTCGATTCCAATGCTGAATCAAGGAATATCCTGCGTCGAAGAGAAAATGGCATGCACACAGTCTCTTCGGGTGAAAACTTGAACCCATTTTCGTCAGACCACTTGCTAACTTAATTTATGCTAACTACAGCTGGCGTTCCCCGCTGGATAGATTGCATGAAGAAGCCGATTTTTGCAGGTGATCAACAATCAATGAATATGCAATTAATGGTGTAAGGACTTGAGCTAGTGTGTTTATCTTTAGAACAGATAAAGTGACGCTCAGGATACTTCACTGAGGAACACCATTCTCTTGAATTAAAGAGTTTGATAGAGTACAGCCCAGTTGAACCTGAAAGATCCACCCTCTCAGAAAAGCCTTCATACAACAC